TATGCGAGAAGAGGAAACGTACAAGAGCCAGTCGACAGCGACGATAAGGCTGACGTCTTCAGCCGGCAGACCGACAGTGTCGAGCACCATGACGAGAGTGACGAGTCCTGCTTGAGGAATTCCTGCTGCTCCAATACTTGCTGCAGTAGCTGTTATGCTATTTTTCGAAACAAAACAAAAATTCCGAAAACGAAAATCAGGAAATAATAGCGCACACAAAAAAAAAACAGTTCTGGGGACAATTTATGCGAGAATACGTCGCATATACATAAAAGCAATCATGTCGAGACATTCAGCCAAAAATTAACTCAAATCATTGAAGCAGCAGTTTGTTCGAATGAGCTTTTTTTTTAATTGAATAACAGTTTTTGCGCAATTTCAAAGCGTAAAAATATCTTCTTCCCCCCCCCCCCTTGCCAGAAAAGCGTCCAACACAATTTATATTCACTAAGAAACTTTTGTTTGTTAGTTTCGGTAAGAAGAACAAATTAGTGTCCCATTATTCTTTTTACCGATATTTTTTTGATCGAAAAACGCTTAAGAAGAAGAAAAAAAAACGCTCAATAATTCAAGCGTTTTTCCTGACCAAAACGAAAAACCTCAGAATATGAAAAACAGGAGCATATTTAATCATACCTAATGGCAATGACTGAGCCAATGCTCATGCTCATGCCTCGGACCTGCGCAATAAAGAGCGCAGCAACTGCTTCATAGAGTGCAGTTCCATCCATGTTAATAGTGGCTCCAATGGGCAAGACGAATCGGGAAATCCGCGGATCAACGCCATTTCTGTTTTCCAAACACCTGAATATACAAAAAAAGCAAGGTCATGACCCTATCATCAGCCTGTCTTATTGAGCCTGTCATCAGTGCAGTGTGATTCTTGCTTTGCTACCCTTTGTGTCTTGCACTTCTGCTGCATATGTAATATCTAAAAACTTGCTTAGGACAATTTGAAATGTATCTGTAAAGTATATTATATATTCAAACTACCAAGAATTCCCAGCCCTGGTCCTGCTGGGCTGATTACTTGGCTTACTTTCTCAAACCTTTCATCCACCTACAGAGTCATCTCTTCATCTAATTTAGTGCTGGTGACTGGATGCTGTTGGACCAAACATAATAGAAAGAGTATTCTGGCAAATTAACTCTTGCCTTCATCAATTCCAACATCCTTTCAACTCATTCAACCCCTGGATGGCAGCAGATCAATTTCCATTGCACAGCAACGTCGGGAACATTTTGCACACTTGTCTGTTCTGGTTTGAGTGACCAAAGGTCACCAAAACACAGCTTTAGCTATAAGTAGCTACAGTAAGAAAAAAATCTAAGGAAGCAAGAAACATTGTCTTGAAAATCCCAAAATGCTAATCCAAATACACAGCAGGAACGCAGAAAAAAAATTCCACCCACAGGATTAATTTTTTTTTTACAAAATATCAGCATGCAAGAATTAAAAAAAAATTGTATTTTTCCTGACTTTGTCTCTTGGGTACATACTATAGTTATTCCTTTTTTTATTTTTCGAGTGGAAAAAAATTGTGGGAATAAATACGGGCAGCACCGCCCAAGGGTTGGAAACAATTTCAGCTAAGCCCAGAATTTTGCGATTGACAACTTCCTGCAAATTTTGTATCTTTCCCAAAACAAAAAAGGTTGTCTCCAATTTTTGTTTGCTGCTGGTCCCTTATGGAAATTCAATTTGAAAAGAGGTTTGACTGCATCATTTATGTATATGTATACAGTAAAAATGCATCACAAAAACTTGTGGGGACTTCAGACAAAGTTTGTTATAATGGATAATTTGTTGTAATGAAATTTTCAAAATTTTGACTGAATGGGAACATTTTCTGAAAATTAAACCTGCATGCATTCAATATCTTCCTTTTTTGGCCTTTTCAGCATTTTAAGAAACTGATAATGTCATAAAGAAATTCAAATGTCTAGAAGAAGTCTTTAATCTGAATAACAGGTGATGGACACTAGAAATTTTTGTTGACTAATGTTTTCTAAGCAATTCCTGCACAGATTTGTGAGGGTGGATGTTCCA